TGAGACAACAGAATTCCCCTCTTTAAAAAGCCAAAAACAAAACAAACAAACAAACAAAAAACAACTGCACACTGTGACTGGGCAGTGATGGCCACATGCCTTTAATTCCAGCATCTGGAAGGCAGAAGCAGGTGGATCTTTGAGTCCGGGGCCAGCCTGGACGACAGAGCAAGTCAGGGCTAAACAGAAATACCCTATCTCGAAAAACAAAACAAAAGAAAACAAAAGAAAAAGAAACAAACAAAAAAAGCTGCACACTGTGAAACTCACCCTATTAAATTCTTTGTTCACAGAACTGTGAAACCTTGAGTGTCTAATCCCAGAATATTCTCTTACACACACACACACACACACACACACACACACACACGGCCTGCATGCTTGAGCAATCACTCTCCATCCATCCCTGCTATGACTCACAGTCCCTCCCCTGCCTTCCTCTGTGGTCCAGCCTCTTCTAACAGTCCATCCACATGGAGTCCTAGGTATGGCTGCTCTCACTTGTAAAGTATTATTGAGGCCCACCTTTTGAATTTGTTATGTGTATGTGGGCACACGTGTGGAGGCCAAAGGGCAATTTGTGCCAGTCAGTTTTCTTCTTTTACCATGTGGGTCCCCAGGATCAAATTCAGGTCCTCAGACTTGGCAACAAGCGCCTTTACCCTCTAAGCCAGCTTACCGGCCCTGTTATGATTTTGTTTGTTTGTTTGGGGCAGTTCTTGGCTGTGTAGTTGAGTCTGGCTTCACACCTAAAATTGCCTGCCTCAGTGATGACAAGTGTGAGCCATCATGTCCTTGGAGATGGACACTGGTGCTACCAGAGATGGAACTCAGGGGTTGCACATGCTACGAAAGTACTGTGTTCCATATGTATGTAGTCCTACAGAGGCCAGAAGGAGTCAGATACCCTGAAACTGGAGTTACAGATGTTTGTGAACTGCCGTGTGGTACTAGGAATCAAACCCAGGTTCTCTAGAAGATCAGCCAGGGTTCTCCAGATCACCCCCTTCCCCCCGCCCCAAGACAGGGTTTCTCTGTGTATCCTTGAGCTCACTCTGTAGACCAGGTTGGCCTTGAACTCATTGATTCACCTGTCTCTGCCTCCAAAGCTGGAATTAAAGTCCTGGGCCACCACCACCTGTCTCAGACCCTATTTTTTATTTTAACACAGGATGTCTTTAAGCTGCATAAGCTGGTTTTGGACTCACTCTACAACACAAGGCTATCTTTTACATTATGATTACATTTATTTTTGTATGCATGTATGTAGGCAGTCAGAAAACAACTTGTGTGACTCCAGGAGTTGAACCAATGTCAGGCTTGGCAGCAAGTGCCTCTACCTCCTGAGACATCTAGCCAGGCCAAGGCTGACTGTGAACTTGAAATCCTCCTGCCTCAGCCTCTGGAATAGCTGGCATGATAGGTCTAAACTCCATTCCTGGCTTTGTTTGCATTTCTTGTCTGACTTGCATAAAGACACATTTATTTGCCAGACCAGCTGTGATTTATCTGCTCAAGCACCTTTTGTCCTTGGGGTCACAGCTGCACAGGAGCATACACTCATCTGTCTTATTTGCCACTGTGCCCCCAGGGCTGTCATAGGGCTTGAAACACACATGGCTGCTGGGCCAAGGAGAAGACAATGTTGGTGCTGCAGCAAAGGCCAGTGGCTAAGCCACCCCAAAGTCTGAGCTTCTCTTTGCTCTGTCCCCTGGCTGCTTTCTAGGGTACTAAAGTGTGATAACTGCTCATCTTCTCTTTCCTTCCCCAAACCCCAACACAAATTCTCTTTACAAATCCTTCAAAACTGGCCCCAAATCTAATCAATCCTTTTGTTTTGTCTAGACATGTGAATGCACATGCCCTTGGAGGCCAGAAGAGGGTGTGAAATCCCCTGGAATTGGAGCTATAGGCACTGTGACCCACCTGATGTGGGCACGAGGAACCAGACCTACTAGTTCTCTACAAGTGCTCTTAACTGCTGAACCATCTCTCCAGCCCCTAGGGTTGTTTTTTGTTTTTCTTTTTGTTTTTTTGAACCAAGTCTTGTTATGGAGGCCAGACTATCCTTATAGTCAGCACCTCGGTGCTGTGGCCTTCCAAATGCTATAGGCATGCAACTCCCGTGCTTTGCTTCTGCGCACATCATAGCAGTCCCTGTCTCACTCCATTGGCCACCTCTTGAGCCTGGAGGCCTGACACCTTTGATTTGGTTCCCGGCTGCCACCCTACCTTCTCAGTTCTCACAGCAGCCAGAGCAATCATTCAATAGTTTTGATTTTCTTCATGAGACATGGTCATGCCTAAGCTGGCCTGGGACACACCACCCGCCTGTCAGCACGATCCCAGAGCTATGCACTACCATGCCCAGTTCTAGAAGAATTCAGTAAGTCACTGCCCTCCTCTGCTCAAAAGCATCCTACAGCTCTTAGTTTAGCCACAGAAGGGCCACAGTCTCAGGGCCCATCAGCATCTCTGTCTGTTCAGTTCTGTGCTCACGTCCTATGCTTACATGCATCTGGCATAAGCATGCTGCAACCTCGGGACCTCTGAACACATTATCTCTCTGAATGGACTTATTTCACCAAAGCACAGCACGTTATGCTCCTCATTCTGTTTGAGTCTATTCAGATGCCAGCCACCAATTGCACCTTTTCAGCCCCAACACTCCTTCTTTACAACACTGGCCACTGGCAGATTACACTGCGTTCCCTTCTGCTTACTCTTTATCCCTCTTAGGGAATGAATGCTCCAAAGAATGTGTATTTTTGTTTTGTTTTGTCTTGTGGTGCTTCACACTAGGCAGGCACTCTACCATCAACTATGCCCTCAGCCCTTCCCTGAGAGATGCTGGGCAGGTGCTCTACTGCTGAGCCACAGCCACAGTCCAAGACTAGGAATTCTACTAACTGTGACCCTAGTACTTCAAGTAGGGACAAATACATAGCACAATCAAATAGCATTTGTCAAATAAAGGAGCAAACAAATCTCTGCAGGTGACATGCTACTAGGAATGGAGTTCAGATGCAAAAGCTAAGCCCCCAAAGGGGCTAAGTAGGTGCAGAGGGTCATCCCACCAAGTTATCAGAGATAAAGCACACCCATTTATATATAATTTATTTTTATTTTATGTCCGTTGTGTTTTGCCTGCATGTATATCTGTGTGAGAGTGTTAGAAGCTTTGGAACTGGAGTTACAGACAGGTGTGAGCTACCACATGGAATTGCTAGGAATTGAACCCAGGTCCTCTGAAGGAACAGGCAGTGCTCTTAACTGCTGAGCCATCTCTCCAGCCCCAAGCACACCCATTTTTAACAGGTACCCATGCCAAAATCTGTAACCCTTCCTAGCTCTACCTCTTTTCACTGGATCCAAAGCATCTCTCATCTAAGGAGATACACAGCTTCCCACTGTCCTCTTTGCTGGCACCTATTGTGCTCACAATCCTCCCCTGAGCAACTGGAGGAGTAAGTCTTTTTTTTTTTTTTTTTCTCGAGAAAGGGTTTCTCTGTATAGCTTTGGAGCCTTTCCTGGCACTCGCTCTGGAGACCAGGCTGGCCTCTGAACTCACAGAGATCCACCTGCCTCTGCCTCCCTAGTGCTGGGATTAAAGGTGTGCGCCACCAACGCCCAGCAAGTAATTCTTTAGATCCTAGCCAATATGGACAGCTGCAACCTGGGCCTGGCCTAGGGCCTCATCATGTGGATCTCACTCTACATCAGCCCAGTCACCCCTCATTAAGAAGCCATCAACAACCTCTCCTGACATGAAGAAACTGACAAATAAAGTCCCTCATTCAAGGTCACATAGTGATGGGAGTGCAGTCTCAAACACAAAGCCAGGTCTGGCTGACCACATCCATGGATGGACCCTCTGAAGGCTCCTGGCAGCTCCAGACACCAACATCTGCTCCCAGAAGTTGTGAGCTAGCCAGCAGCCAGCCCTTCCATCATTACAATAACCCTTCCTAGAAGGGATCATGGCCCCCATATTGCTGTGATAAGCCAAGAAAGGTTTGAATCCAGGCCTGTCCTATTCCCTGACCACTTTCCTTCTGCAGAGCACACACTTTCACTACCCCCACCCCCACCCCCAGAGCTTTCAGATGGCTTGCCCTCCTCTTAGGGGTCTGCCTCCATCAGGAACGCTCACTTGGTAATACCATTCCTTCCCAGGCAGTGCTGGTGTCTTAGCTTTCCCCAAGAGTCTACACCTATATTCCCTCTTTCCTATACGTAGACTCTCAAATGCCTTCCATGTCACTTAAGCAATCTTCCATCGAGAGTCTTTTCATACCTCACCCTCTGCTGTCTCCCATTTCCGTCTCTGATCCTCTGTTCCCCCACCTCATCATCGCTGATCCCTGTGCTGCCCCTCCACTTACGCTCTGGTCCCTCTGCTGTCCCCTGACCTTATCATCTCTGGTTTATCTGATGTGCCCCCACATACTATCTATGGGCCCTATGGTGTCACCCCCACCATATCATATCTGCTTCCTCTGCAGTTCCCCCAGTTCCATCACCGGTCCTTCTGCTGTCCCCTCACCTGCTTCTCTGTCCCTCTGCTGTCCCCCTGTTTCTATTTCTGATTCCTCTGGTATCTCCCCACTTTATCATCTCTGGTTCTCCTGATGCCCCCGCTTCCATCTCTAGTCCTTCTGCTGTCCCCCACATTATCATCTACAGTACCCCACCTTGTTATCTCTGGTCTTTCTGCTGTCCCCCAACCTAATCATCTCTGGTCCCTGGGCTGTTCCCCAACTTCTGGCCCCTGGCCCTAGGTGGTCGCCCGCCTCCCACCTCTTCTGCGTCTCTGATTTTCTCCACATAGGCTCGGGATGGCACTGAATGACCTACCTAGCCCGTTGTTCTATCCCCTCCACCTCCTCACGCCACGTCTGCCCGCGCCGCCCCGGTCCTTCCAGCGAGGACACCCCCGCGATTCCCCGCTCCCTCCTCCCGGTTCCCGCGTGACCCCCGGGCCCCGGTCGTGAGCTCACAGTTCCGGATGTCGGAGATGAACACGGCGAGCCCGCGCATGCCATCGCCCTTGGATACGGCC